CACCATCATTTAATGGTTACTCAATAGAATCGAAACAGTTGACGGGAAAAGGAAAACTATCAAGGGATGAAGAAAGGTGTAAGAACAGCCGAATTAAACCTGAAACATCAATAAAGAAATGTTGGATGTTAAAGTTGTTTGTACTCACATTTGGCCATTTCCATCTTCCGTTGTCTCTAGCTTTTACTTTCCTGCTCCTCCTATGATCATAGAAGAAGAAACAAAAAAGTCTGGATATGCTTGTTAGATGCTTGCTCTAGAGAAGCTGCTTGCAAAAAATAGAAATAAAAAAGAAGATGAAGGTAAAAAAAACATTAGTCGTTGTATACTGTAAGGCATAGAAAAGTTTGAGAACAAATTGTCATGATGGTGTGTAACACCCTACCCTATACGTTTTGCCTAATCATATTGTTCATACAATTGCAGCGGAATTAATCTCGGGCGTTACATTAATTATCAAAATTTACCCAAATAAAATTTCGACATGAATTACTCGCGTAATGGGCTAACAGTTCTTGCAACTTATCCTGCAAAATAATTCATCACAAACATATATACTCACAACCATATGCATTGGCTTTTCATAGCCATAGTCACAGTTTCATACTACACAACTGCATACCATACTAATACAAGCCATAATCGTCATAACTTACACAATTACAAAAATATACACATATCGTCAACTTTCCACACCTGTGGATATCTCACACTACACCAGAAGCTAGTATGCACATGAAAAACGTTCTCAAAACATTTTTACAAAAAAGGTGTGGATCATTGGCCAAAATCCCGAGTAGTAGTCCAAGCACAGAATAGTTGAAGACCATACCTCATCCTGGCTTCAACTCTAGCTCCTCTCCCACCTAACACTTATCTACTGCTGTTGCTGATGATCTGCTTACACATAGCATAAGCAGAGAAGAAGAATAAAAGAGGGTCAGCTCATAGCTGAGTGAGATAATCATCGCATAGTGAGTTCATAACCAGCATACCCCTACCATACATCTAACAATCAAGCCAAAGCACTAGGATCAGATCTCAGCCCTCCGACATCCCAATAGGCAAAAGACTCAACCACCTTGACTTATGCAAATTCATCTTATCATGTTTTACTTATAGGCGCCTGGCTACCCCCATGCTAATAACTCTCCCGGGAAACATACCCCACATCCCGTCGGATGTAGTCATACATACCCCAACATCCCGTCGGATGTGGTCATACATACCCTACACCACTATGGGTGTAGTCATACCCCGACACCGCTCTGGGTGTGGTCATATCTCGTAAGAATTCTTCAGTCACCACCACATGAGAGATGTGACTATCATACATATCATAATAGAGTAATAGCATAGGGAGCCCTAATTACTATGTAGTTGACCGTGAGACCACAACACTCATATTTGGTATCCTTATACATGATTCATATCTCATCTTGCTTAATCATAATTCGTTACTTGCACATGTACTTGACCAGGCCACAATTGGCTCAACATAGGTAAATCAGGAGTCGTATAATTGCACTTCCTCGGGATAAACCCTCGTGCAAGTCATCCTCCTTAAAACATCATAATATCACCTTGGGAAGTTTATTTCCCCCACTTGTGAATCCAAATACAACCACAATATCACATCATATCAAAACACCTGATCGAACAACCATGAATTCATAACAACGGTTAAGCCACAAATGGCAACATGTATGCAATCATCAACATAAACAAGGTCCATATCGGCTAGGGCAAATCAATAATATCATACAACAGTCCAGGGTTCATCATATAACACAAAAGTCCATACACCCCTAATCATGCCATTCTAGTTCACCTAGGTCAATTCTAAGCATCAATATAATTATCGTGATACGAAAAACCCGGTATGCCGTGCTAATCCCTCACCAGCTTTGGCCGTTCAAACACCGGTTTTAGCTTCCCGTACTAAAACGTCAATTTCACGAACGAACCCCGAATTAAAATCCGAGACCGTCCTAATATCCCCTGCAGTATCCCCGTCAATATTAGTTCTAGGCTCCGGGTCAAATTCTTGATAAAAACACATCAAACCCTGGCCGGAGCTAAATTCAGCGGTTCGGACCCCGGCCTAAATAATAGCCGAAATTCAGGGATTAGAACTAGAGGATTGATTACCTCGCTGCAGTAAGCTCGTATATGAAATTTGGGCTCAATCCGGCTTCCGGATACTCCGAAACCCTAATTTGGCAGATCGGGAATTCAAGAAATTCCTGAACCAAAAACTCGTTTTAAAGCTCTAAATCGATAAATCACGATGTATAGATGAATTAGGCATTACTTACGGGATTTTTGGATCACTAGGGCTCAAGAATTTGAGCTTTGAAATTTTGGGTCTAGAGCTTCGCGTGTGCTCTATTTCTCTCGTTTACTCTCGTTTCAGAAATTGTGAAAGTGATGATGGAGATGAGAATTAATGGATCCGGGGGGGAATTATATATATGACAGCTTACTAATATATATATATATAATTAATACGTATACTTATCCGATCGATCGATAATCCGATTTTCGCCGAAATACTGTTAAAACACTCGATTTTAAATCGCGAACTTTCTAGCGATCGAAATATGGGTTTTGCCGTAACGGGATGTTACATGGTGTATGCAAGGAGACTCTTAAAACAACTCCATTTCATCGAATAGATAATCCGATGACACATATAAAAAATCCAAACAAAAAAAAAAACTTGAGGGGAAAACACAAATGCAAATCCACAGAAGCATGAATATGAAGACCCCTTCCACAGAAGCAAATCCAAAAGAACATCCAAAACACAGAAGCAACTGAAGGAACCAGGAAGGGTTAGAAACTCACATTGAACGTGGGCGACGATGAGGCTGTGGTGTCTGAAACGGAGTTGTTGCCAGTGGGAGCTCCCACTGCCATAAGGGTGCTGTGATGATGAAGTGGTATTGTTGTAAGTACTCCAGGTTTAACATCAGTAGGTCCATGTAATGTAAGTACTCCAGGTTTAACTTTCCGAGACAATAACATAATCATATAACCATGTAAAAAAATTGAACACATGAAACTTAAAATGGATGGACTCGAGCAACCTTGTAAATCCATGACAACAACTAATGAATGCATAACTATGGTGACTATAAATTGGTAATCCAATGGCAAAAACCTTATAAAACTACAGAGTTCCCCATTGAGTGTTTAATCTTCTATTAGTAGTCATTAATTTTTAATACCCATGGACTAAAAGAACCTGCTAAACCCATGGCAGTGCCACTTCAGTCTTTTGTTGCAGGCAGTGGCATTGCAGCTTCTATGGCACTGCTGCTCCTTCCCCATGAATCCTTGCTTAGGAACCGTACCTTTGTTTCCAGATTTCCCCTGAACACGAACTGAAGAAAGGTTTTGTTTCAAGCATATGGAATGATGTGTTTAAAGATTATGTTCACCTAGTGCTACAATCAAGAACTAACACCAAGGTCTGGCCATCCAGAGCAAAGAACGAAGAAGTTAAGCTCTAGCAAATTAGAAAACCCTAACCTAATCTCTAGGGCGCCGGATGAAGCACTCGACGGCTCCTCGAACTTTATTCAGAAAAACCACAACGAACAATCACACCGAAGCATAATAACGATCAGTTCTAGTAAGAATTAGAATATTGACCTCAATCGATAACTGATCAATTCTTACACGACGCACGGACCAAGGGCGAGATCGGAGAGACGAAGGAGAAAGCATCGGTTCATTCGGCGGCAGCACTACTCGCGATCAAAATCACAGCAACGCTGGCGAGGGATTGGAGCGGCGCTCGTGCTCTAGGCTGGCGTATGTGCCTTATCCTCTTCCTCGGCCGTCGCCGACACCGACACAATCGGTCGCAATCGAAGTCAAAGTGGAGTCGTCTCGACGACGATGGGGTGCTCACAGACACAGGCGAGGGATTCGAATTCAATTCGCCAATCTCAAACAAGTAAACCTGCAATACATTGACTAAATCGAATCCAAGTTCGAATCCAGTTCAAATTTGAAATCAAGGTACGCCTCTTGAACTCGGTATTCTGATACAATATGGAAAAATACCAAATCGGATGTGGATCAAATTTGACCGAGTTCAAAAGTGAAAATATGATTCAATCGAATTTCAAACTAGTTCAGCTTAGATAGAAATCAGAAATAGGCTAGGATCTGTTACCTTTTGAGAATCGACAGGGAGGGAGGAATTATCGAACGAAGCAGGCGAACTCTTTATTTGCTTTAAAAATCATGATTCCTCTGCAGACTGGAGTAGCCAAACCTCAAAGAAGCAAATAGGGAATCAGATTAAGACGAGACGAGAGAAGAGGCGAAGCTGTAATCAGAAATGAAATCGAGAAGAGGAGGAGGAGAAATCTAATGGAATCGACATGAGGAGACGGAAGAAGAAGAGGCGGAGGATAACTCGGATGGAACAGAATCAAATAATGAACGACAAGTCGAAAACCTCGTCTCTTACCCGACCGGCCGACCACTTGAATGGCAGCTAATGAACGACAACACTTGTTTTTCATAATTTACTATTATAGCCACTAAGTTTTAATAATATCAGATATAGTACCTATGTAACAAATTGACAACCAAATAATTTAGTTGTTGAATTTTTTATTGGATTTGCAACCAAATTATTTAGTTACCTAAGATTTTCAAATTTCTTGCTTAAATTCATAACCAATAATATTTGGTTGGAGAAACTAAAAATCAATATGCTACCAAATTATTTGGTTGGAAAAACTAAAAATTATTTTGCTACCAAAATTATTTGGTTGGAAAAAGTAAAAATCATTTTGCTACCAGATTATTTGATCTTTTTAAATTTTATTTGGTTATCAATACTTTGACTTTAATAGGCAACCAAATTTTTTATATTTTAGCTATCAAAATATAATTGGTTGTATATACTACCCTTTTCACAACCAATTTTAGTTTGGTTGTAATCTTTTTGGTTGCAAAAGCTAGTTTTTGTTGTAGTGTATTTAAGTGATTAATTTCTATGTAAAACCAGTCGGGAAAATATTAGTACTTGGGGGGCGAATGATATAAGAGTCGTGTGTACCTGCAAGTGCAAATAGGATGGGACTAATAATGGCCAGGTTACCTGCTCAACGTGATTAATATGCGGGATTGAAGAAAGGAACGAAGATTGTTTATAAGGACCTTTTGGTTGAATTTGGTCATCAATCATCATCTTTTAGTGGTTCGTGCTTATCCAAATTAAGGCTTTGGGAATTTTTTTATTTTTTGAATGAAAGGCTTTGAGATCTGAACACAATAACACACTGAAGACTAGAACTGAACACAAAGGTGTGCCCTTCTTTTATAGTTTCCATATATCCCATTATATATCTAGATGGAATTGTCAAGGATGAAACAGTTGATAATATTGACCAAATCATGGGAGGTTTGTGAATAAGGGTCGTTGGTGAAGAAACCATGTTGCTTTCCTTTGATTTCCACGTACTCAACTTTCTTCCCCATTTTGGCTAGCTTCGTTGCATAGTCGTGAACCCTATCTCTCAGCAGTTCACACTCTCCAGCAATCACCAATATGGGATCCATGTCCACCTTTTCAAGCTTCTTGCTGGCAGCTCCAAATGGGTTCGCCAATGGATGGTCTCTGTCTTCTCCCACGGGCAAAGATAGCCTCCAAAACCTGCGGTTGGAGCATATTGCTTGGGTTAGAGAAATTTTAATCACCACTATTAATTTCTACCACTTACACCACAAACTTTTTGGACTATTGGAAGAAGACAAACAGTTTAATGGGAGATAGGAATTATATGGGCTTGGAGGAGACCCACTGGCGTATTAGTAATCGACAAACCTCTTTAGTGCGAAAGCAATGTATGGGAAAGAGAAAGAATATAGTCCCCAATGAATTAAATTAAGTGACCCAAAGCATGCATCAAGTGGCAAATTGTTTAGTGCGGCTAGCTGCACGCTCGAGCGCTATTGACCATCTTTATATTTAGACCACAAAACTTCAATCAATCCCTTTTCCCGGCCAGAGAATGGACTCATCATCGTACTATTTCCTTTTGGAAATGCTCTCTTATTTCCTTTCTTTTCCCATTTAGGTTTATCTGGTTCTCTCGTCAAGACTTATCATAGCATTGGCTGGACTGTATCTTCTTCTGTCAATATCAATGCCATATCTTTTGATGCAACAAACGGACCAGAATTAAGGTACACTCATAATTTATCCGATTGGGGAGAAAAAAGAAATCATAAGCATATGGTTGCTGTTTGGATATGGCCAAATAAATTTTATCTCCTCCTTCCCCATTTATTTTATGGATCGGCTTTTCTCATTCTAACTAGCCAAACAAGATTAAAAAAACCGAATCAACACCCAAAAATCTCATGCTTCCATCTTGACGGAAACATTTGCCACAAAACTTTAGACAAAATGGGTCATGGGTGAGACAATTTATCCCTACTTACTAGAACAAGCTAAGTAGCCCACCTATAAAAATATATGTATATGTTGCCACCCACGTGAGTAATTAATTAAATTGGTGCGCATGAATAGAATAGAAGGGTCATTTAATTAATTACCTGTCCAAATCCTCCAAACTCATCATCTCCTCCCTCGGCCCTTCCTCCGACTCGGTCCTCGCAACCCCGCCAAAAAACGGCGCCAACAGTATATACCCTCTGACCCGAACCGGTCCCAAACCTGGCGAACCGGCTCCGAGCCGAGTCGCCACGTGGTGTGCAATATTACCTCCGGACGAATCACCAAGCACGAAAACGCTACCGAAGTCAACGTCGTCGAACCACTCGTCGCCCCACTCGCCAGCCTGAGACTGCAGCCACTTCATAGCAGCGATGCCGTCGTCCATGGCGGCCGGAAGCCGGTCCTCGGGAGCCAAGCGGTAGTCCGGGGCCACGACCACGGCGCCGAGGGCGGAGGAGAGGCGCTGGCAGCAGTTGTGACAGCCGGGCCAGTCGCGGGAACCGACGCAAAACCCACCGCCGCGAAAGTAGAAAAGGACGGGCATGCGGCGGTTGGTTTTGACGGGCTTGTAGAGGCGGAGGCGGAGGTTGTGGGGCTTGTGGAAGAGGCAGTCCTTGTAGAGGACGGACTGGTCGTTGACGGGTTGGGTGGGGAAATCTATGATTTGCTGACGGAAAACGGTGCCGTCGCTGAGGAGTTGGAGCACTCCCATGCAGTCTTCCACTACCTGAGGAAGCGAACCCATGTTGTTGTTTTTTTGTTTTTTTTCTTGTGCTTTTTCTGTGTGTTTCTTCCCTGGGGAATTAGGGATCTCTCTCTCTGGTCTCAACTGTACTTTTGGGGGGGTTTCTCTTTTGGGAGGTTTTGACAGATTGGGGGGTTTCCTTAATAGGTGGAAAGGTGAGGGCGAGTGATTTATAGAGTCAGAAAAGTTTTAATTTATCTTGGTTTTTTTGGGAGGAGAAACTTATTGGAATAAAATATGACACAACTTGTTTGTGTTTTTCTTACAACTTGTTTGTGTTTTTCTTACACAGAAGATTTTGGAAGTATTATGTGGAGGGAACGGATTGGTGGGTGTTTGGGTGGCATGTGGATAGCCAATCCAGCAAATGGTGCATGTGGGTCTCGCTAGCTAGGATTATTGGTGCGCCGCATAGGTGTCAGTCGCAGTTTCGGTTAATCGAATACCGAATTTTTGGTTATTGGTTAAGCCGAGTGGTTTTTATGTCTGTCGAGCACCAATCGTGAGAAGAATTATGGTTAGCTGACTACTGACCGATCGATTTTCGATTTTGGTTCGGTTATAACTGTAAATAATCGAGTTTATAAAAAAAAACAACACTACCCCACCCACGTTTTCTTCTCTCCTCTTTTGTTACCTAGCAATAAAAAAATTAAAGAAAGAGAAGAGCAAGACTGTAACACCCCGATTAGTTTTTATTATTTTATTCCTAAACTACCCTTCACTTATCCTAAGTATATTTAAGCAAAATTAAACTAAACCCTAAGCGAGGTCTATGTGGAGCCTCTAACAAAAGTCGTCGAAAGACCCCATCCTTTTTGTTTTCCTCTGACCAGAGCAGTGCCACAAATCCCAAAACCGAAAACCCTTAGCTCTCTTCCATCGCAATACCATCATCTTCTTCATGATAGCAACGAAGAGGAAGGCGTGGGCTGCACTACTAGAGAGACTTAGATAGTCTGTAATCGATGAAGAGAGCCAACGACGACGACAGGTTTGATAAGGTGACGATTTGAGAAGCAATCGCGCGCTGGCCAGGGTGCTCATTGCAAAATCCTCTATCCAGGGCAAGCATCGGCATGGGCATGACGAGTTCGAACAGGACGAATAAATTCATCAATCACGGATCAAGTACAGCGCTGTGGTTGGGGTTAGCTCATTGTGGGCTGCCGTGCTCATAGCGGTACGATAAAGAATGAGGTCCACCGTATGGGGGTGACCGCAACTTGGAACGGTATTGTGGCCTCATACATCAACGAAAGATAGCCTTCGAAGCGACTGGCTTCCGGGGATCACAAAGAGGGATAAAGCTGGTGTGGATACTTCAAGCAAGGAGACACGATTATAAGGATTCGATCCTCGGCAGCAATTGGTTCAAGTTAGTAGGCTTGAATACTAATTAAGGTGCGTGGTTAAAGGGAGCTGAAGTAGTTTTCGTTATCAGTCTGTTCATTTATGTCTATGTTATGCATTTCAGTTTACGCCTTATGTTTCAGTTGTTCTTTATACTCTTCCATGTTTAGCTAAGTCATTTACGTCCAGTCATTACTTTAAGTGTGCATAGCATCACGAAGCATCACCAAACTAAGTTTCAAGGCATTCAAGTTAATAACTTGGATCTTCCTAGTGCGTGGGAGATCACCAAGCTTTCCAAGTTTGCAAGCAAGTATATGTTGAATTACATCTCTCCATGGTGTGAGAGATCGATTCGAACAAGCAAGTATAAAACATCAAGATAATAAGTAAGAACATGTTTAATCCTCGCTTAGCTAGTTATGCACGCGATACAGGATCCCCATTGTGTGGGTGTTTCGCTTTAGATAGGCGCAGGATCCCCATTGTGTGCGTGTTTCACCTCAGATAGGCGAAGGATCCCCATTGTGTGGGTGTTTTGCCTAAGATAGGCACAATTTACATGTTCACGCTCTCCATTGTAAAGGTAGTCATGTTAAGATATGTTATGACAAGTTTTACCAGACGGTTTCCCTAGCTAAGTGGAGGACGGGGGCCCATTTTAAAATTAAATATGCAAGACACCTATAAAATAAACATGAATCATAAGTTCAAGGACTCATAATAATACACCCAATAATGTAACTAAAGCATCGCATGTGCATGGCTGCTGTCTGTTTATGTAAAATACCGAAATTAGGATTAGGACTGGCCCCATCGCCCACATTAGGGGTGGGCAACCAGTTTGGTAAACCCGAACCGAAACTGAATTAAACCAAACCAAAATAATGCTATTCCGTTCGAAATTCGGAAGGGAAATATGGATATTTTGGGAACTAGGGTTCTTTCAACTGAATCGAATTTTCGATCGAAAAACCGAAATACTATAATTGCAAGCTCCAAATGGTGGATTTTTATGTTTGTAGTTGTTTTTAGACTTGAATATTTGAAATGCTTTATGACTTAAGTGTTGAAAAATTAGATTTTATCATTGATGATGAATATAATTGCATATTTATTGTTTATATTAGGGGGGAAAAATAATTTAAAAGTGAGAAGATACAAGTAGTCTCACAAATTCGGTTTTGTGTGAAAAACCGAACTGAACCGAATTTGATTTGAGGTTTGGGAGAATTCGGGGACCCGGTATTCATAATTTCGGTTCGGTCAAAACCGAACCGATCGAATGCCCACCCATAGCCCGCGGTCAGGGATTGTAGAACCTCGAAAAGTACACTCAGGAATTCAGCAGCTCGTGACAAGGATCAATGGCTTCAAAGGACTCCAGTAGGAAGACTTTAATTGGAAGGGTACTTTAGTAGGACGAGAGACTTGATGCAATTTTATGAAAGATATTTACTAAAATAAATTGGAAGGGTAGGCGAGGGGTCGACGAGGTCCGTGGGGTCAGGGCTCGCCGGAGTCGCGGGTCGGGCTCGCCTGGAAGGGTCGGGTCGTCGGGGGGTCGCCGGTCGAGGGTCACGAGGCGTCGCGTCGCGTCGCCGGGTCATTGGGAAAGGGAGCAGGTGTCGCGAAGGGTTTGTCGTTTGGATCAGAGGATGGAGGGGTGGAGGCGGCAAGGGGAGATAAGGAGGCAGGTAGGGTTGGCGCCTTGGCGGCGGGTTGTTTTTAGGGTTGAAATTGCTTAAACTGCGCCGTATATAGACATTGATGGGAGGTGCTTCGGTTAGCCGGTTAAATTGACTTCGGTTACTCGACTAACCGAAGCGACAAATCCATGTGCCGACAATTGACCGCTTTTGATAAACGTCGATTTTCGGTTAGCCGCTAACCGGCAGTTATCGGTTGAATCGGCCGGTTAGCCGCTAACCGGAAATCGAACTGTCACCCCTAGTGCGCCGATATAGAAACTTCTTTTTTTATTTAATTTCTTATATATAGCTCCAATTAAAGTCCAAAAATTTTCAATCTCGTAAATTCCCCGGCAAGTTCCAAAATAATGTTTGTTTAGAGGTAAGGAGAACCATGCATATTGGATGACAATGGGAACAACGAAGAAAAAATAAAGAGAAAAACAATTGAGTTTCAAACTTATGTTATTATTAATAAATAAAGTATCTATTTACAGAATTACAAAATTAAATTATTTTTTTCTCACCGGAAATTTTTTGCTGTCTTCTTATCTTACTATAATAGATTCTCGTGTCCACCCCTCCAAACTCATATGCCAACGTCCATCGAACCTTCAGGTGGATCCTTTTGGTTTTGAGTTGAGAGCGGGGGTACCTGGTCCAAGAACCTGGCTGTCTCACACAGCTAAGAAAGAAGAGGCTAAAATTTGGGCCAATCTAAAGAAGAAGTTTGAGCTGGAATGTACTGGTGCCAATTTTGAGAGCGAAGCACATCGAGAAGGAGAGAAGAATGAAAGAGCTAGCATGGGTAAAAGAATGGGGGGAGAAGAAACTGTTCGGACTGTGGAACAGACTGATGCAACAATGATAGGGGAGACTGAGGAAAACATGACAAACAAGCTAAATGAAGATAAGACACCACCTACAAAGAGACAAGGGGAGGAAACGACTAAAGAGAAGAAAGCAGCAGTAGGAGGGGCTTTGCAAAGGTTTAAGATGGGTAAGGAAGAGGGGCTGACAACAAGGAGGCCTCCAGGAAATGTTTGGCGTAGACAAGAACAAAGAAAGGAGAGATATCAACAGACAACTCAACTTACTCCACAGAAGAGAAATGTTGATACACAGGAAGGGGACATGGATATTGATCTGGATTTTCCAAAACACTCAAAGAAGGCTCGCGTTTTGGATTTTCAGAAGGGTCAGACAGAGGAACAGCAGGGGAAACAAAAGAACATGGATGGCGAAGTGGCAGACTCTGCAGTAGAGCAGAGCCGCCCAGCCCAATGAATATACTCAGCTATAATTGTCGAGGGTTGGGGAATCCCTCGGCAATTAAAAAAGTCAAGTCTTTGTTGCAAAGACAAAATCCCCAAATAGCATTCTTGATGGAAACAAAAAGAATGCATCATGAATGGAGGGATACAATGAGGAACCTGGGTTGGAAGGATGGATTTGGTGTTGGGTCGACAGGAAGAGCAGGGGGATTAATGGTCCTATGGCAACCAGAAGTCAAGGTAGAAATTAAGGGTTACTCAAGTAACCATATTGACATGAAGGTCACTGATGAAGGTAAGGAATGGAGATTAACAGGAGTTTATGGCTGGCCAGAACAGGGCAACAAACCTCGAACCTGGAATTTAATAAGGCAGCTGGGGGATCTCACAGACCTGCCATGGCTGATGACGGGGGATTTTAATCTGGTTCAATGCTATGCAGAAAAGAATGGAAGGTATGATGCTAATGTACAGGAGATGGAGGGTTTTAACAAAGCGTTGGAGGAATGTAATCTTGAGGACCTCGGCTTCTATGGGAGAAGGTTCACTTGGGACAACAACCATAAGGATGATACGTTCCTGGAGGAGAGGTTGGATAGAATGGTGGCCACAAACCAGTGGATGACTCTTTACCCTCAGGCGAGGGTGTACCACTTGAATAGATGTGGATCAGACCACAACCCCTTGCTTTTGCAGACACAATTGGGAGAAGCAGAAGTGAGATGGGGAACTTTTTTCAGGTTTGAAGCATATTGGCAAAAGCATCAGGATATAAAAGAAGTTGTAGAGGAGGGATGGAGAAGGAATGGGGGTGGATCGGTTCTGAAAAA